TGGGCAAATAGAACATACTAATGAAACATTAAAAGGCCCTCATATAATTCCTTTGACAGCTTGAGGCAATGAAAGAAAACCAATTGAAAAAATTAGGGGTTTAAGCAATTGTTTCATTCTTCACATGCCAACAATCAGACGAAATGAGAATAAAAAACCCTAATTGATGGAGCAATGAAGGAAGAATTGATTGACGTTGACATAGAACAGTTGGAAGGGTTTTATAGATTTAGGCACTTGGGTTTCTATCAGCTCAAGTTTCAGTCAACTCAAGCAGAGAAAGAGAGAGAGCTCCATACTTGGGGAAGACGATGAAGCTACAACCGAAGCAGATGAAGACCACTTTAGCGCAAAAAAACAAATATCGAGCCAAAATATGCTCGCCAAAAATGGCGAGTGAGGTTGGAGAGAAATTTTAGGAGTTGGCTATTCAAAATATTTAAGATTGAGCTTTTAAAGAGTGGGTTGAAATTTCTTTTACATGTTGTAAATATCGAGGGGTCACTGTGTTATTATCTAAATGCTAGGGGATTGCCGTATAATTTTGACCTAAGATAGGGGTGCGTTTAATTTTTACCCTAGTATAAAATATGTATAAAACATGACTTGACTTTGAATACTTAAGTTAACTTACCACAATAGTGATTGAGATTCATTCAATCCAATGACTCAAAATTATCCTAAAAAAATCTCCCCCTAAAAAAAACTTGAAAATCTCATTCATCCCAGAATCTATTACCAAAACACAGTTGCTTTGGAACTTTAATACCAAACTACGACACTTTTGAACTTATTTACCAAACTATGACACTTTTTAAAAGTAGAGTCAATAATTCTGTTTTTTTTAAAAAACCGATTCAACAACCCCGCTTTTGTTAAAAAAGGGGGATCAATGATCCCACTTTCAAGGAAAAAATTTGGGCAATGTGAAAAGCGTGTTTTGTAAACACGCTTTTTATGATTTTTTGTGAAAAGTAAACACGTTATTCACACTCTTTCACATGTACCATTATTGAGAACCAGTGACCTCCAATTATAAGGGGATGATCTTTTATAGGACCTCGACGCTACATCACTTTAAGAAATGGGAGTTGGCTTGACGATGAGAATTGTAAGAGGACAGAACCAGTAAAGGAAGGAGTGTTTGAGTAAAATGAGATGGTGAAAATTATTCGTGATGTTGAATTAGAAGAATTTGAGGTAGCAGCAGCTAAAGCCTCTGAAATAGGGGTGAATCTTAAACTTTTTGATGTAAACCCTCTTTTATTATTGAGGCCTGATGGACACCCAGATCCATATCAACGCTTTCACCCATTTGTAAAGGATAAGAATGCAAAAATTGTTAATGGCTGCCTGCATTGGTGTTTGTTTGGTCTGATAGATTCTTGGAATGATTTGCTCATGGAAACAGTGATGAATGGTTGAGATGATTAGGAATCAAAGCTGGCAAAGTTGTTTGTTGGGATAAACCATTTAGTTCTTACCATGTCCAGAAAAAGAAAGAAGAGGCAAAAGGATTTTCTAGGTAAATCCATTTGTGGGGGTATACCCATTTAGTTCTTACCATGTCAATTTCAGAACTCACAGCCAATGTTGCATTATCGGAGAAGCAAGCTTTGATTTGACATTAGCCTGACTTAGAATTTGATGGCGAGGATTTGAGTGTGAAGGAAAAGGAAAATCAAAATTTGATTGGACAATTGGGTGTATAGAGTTTAATTCTATGAAGTGGGTATGGCGAGAAAAGAGGAGGGTGCTTGAGAGGGAAGGGTTTAGTTGCATTGCAGAGAGAATTCATTCCTTCAAATATTTGCCCAAGGGAGGATGAGTATGGAGGTTTTGGATACGAAGATAAGGAATCTCTTTACACCAATTGAAACACATGAAAAACGTAGTTACTAACCACGCTTTTAACGTGTTTCAGTTCATTATTTTGGACCACATTTTTTATTTAAAAGTGGGATCATTTATCTCATTTTTTTTAACAAAAATGGGGTTGTTGAATTCGCTTTTTAATAAAAATAGAATTATTAATTTTACTTTTGAAAAGTGTCATAGTTTGGTAAATAAGTTCAAAAATGTCGTATTTTAGTATTAAAGTTCCAAAACAACTGTATTTTGATAATAGATTCACTCATCTCATATACTTTCACATTAACCAAGGTAAGACTAAGTATTTCTCTTTCTCGTCTCTTTTTTCTATCTAGAGCCTTTTAAATTTTATCTTCCACATATTTTTTCCAACCATTCCTATTACATCTCTAATTTATATTACAAGTTGAATCATGTAATTTTTTGATTAATTTGTTACTCAATATAATTTTTATTTTAAATATTGTTCATATATGATAATTTACACATTGATATTTTTTAGATCATATATTTTGAGAAAATTTTGTCAATTTATTAAAAAATAATGAGCATAATTTAATTTCAAATCATCTAATTAAAGAAAGGGAAAAAAATTACTATTTGATACAATGAGATCAATTTTTTGAGTGCTTAGATTTTATGTTATATCGTACCTTCACGGGTTATGAAAAGTATCAAATAAATTAAAAAAAAGAATGAGCAAAAAAATTGAGTAAGCTATTTCAAGCCTTTTTTTTTGTTTCACATTAAAAAAAGTCATCTTCTTCACTTATTTCCTTTTGAATATTATAACATAAATTATTTCCACAATTTTCGTCATCCTAATCCAATTTATGTACAAGTAGATAATATTTATATTTATATAATAAAGTAGAACGAATTTGAATTTTGAAGACAAAGAATAGTCTAGATCATTTCGTAACAAAAAAAAGCCATCATCTAACGAACGACGTTTTCTTAAACTGTCTCGAGCTATTGACGTCTCAGATCGTTTTGATCCGACGTACCACATTAACTTTTTTAAAATATTTTTGCAGCTCAAAATTTATAGTTTCCAAAATTGATATTCCAAACTTTAATTCTTCCAAATCTTTTCCTTAAATTAAGTAAATATCTTCCTCTCATTTCTCTGTATCTTTCTCTCATGTTCAATTCACACAAAAAGTATCAATTTTTTACAATATTTTCTTCTATATCTCTCTCCGTATCTCACGAAAATATTAGATAGTGTTTGATTCAAGCAAATACTACTCTCTGTAGATAGATAGTATATATCACAGAGAGATAATATATTATGAAAATATTCCTCTGTATCTCTCTCTGGAGAAAAATTATATAATAAATATTAGATAGTATATATCACGAAAATATTCTTCTGTATCTCTCTCTTTCATTCAAACAACATTACAAATACGTATCATAAAAATTCAATAGTCAACTTTATTTTTTTCATAATCAATAAAAAAAAAACATAACGTGCAAAAAAATTAATTTAACAAAAAAAATATGTTTAACATGTAAAATATACAAGATTAAATTTAAGTTATTGGACAACTTAGATATTAAGATATATTAAAGAAAATATGTTTAACATTTAAAATATACAATATTAAATTCATATACAAACATGAATCATGCAAATTCAATATTTAGTGAACAACACAAAGCAACAATATTTACCAAATAATCCAAATATAAATACCCAAGAAAAAAGATACAAAATTACAAGCGAGAGAAACGATATAAAATTATAAGTAATACTATGAACACGAATCATACAAATTCAATATTTAGTAAACAAATTAAAACAACAAATCTTTACTAAATAATCCAATACTAAATAACGTTTAGTTTAAAAAAATATACTAAGAACATAAATAACTGAGAAAAATGATATAAAATTAAAAGTACTATTATAAACTCGAATCACACAAATTCAATAGTTAATTTTATTTTTTTCATAATTAATAAAAAAAAATAAATTACAAAAAATTTAATTTAACAAAGAAAATATGTTTAACATGTAAAATATACAAGATTAAATTCAAGTTAATGGACAACTCAAATATTAAGAGATATATTAAAGAAAATATGATTAACATTTAAAATATACAAGATTAAATTCATATATAAACACGAATTATACAAATTCAATATTTAGTACCTAACACAAAGCAACAATATTTACTAAATAATCTAAATCTAAATATCCAAGAAAAATGATGCAAAATTACAAGTGAGAGAAACGAAATAAAATTATAAGTAATATTATGAACACGAATCATATAAATTAAATATTTATTGAACAACACAAAACAATAATCTTTACTAAATAATTCAATACTAAATAACGTTTACCTTACGAAAATATAATAAAAATACAAATAATTGAGAAGAATGATGTAAAACTAAAAACATTACTATAAACTTAAATCATACAAATTCAATAATCAAGTCGTATCTTTTGGAAGTCGGTTGAATTTCTGATAGTTATATTTGGTCATTTGACAACATCTGCAGAATTAGTTTATTTGTGCGAGTATTGTTTTAATTTTCATTCTATTAGTTAGGAATTCTGTTATTATTTAGATAAAGTTGATTATGAATGTTAAAATCGTAGATTTTGAATAAAAAACAAAAAATTGAATATTGTTAACTGATATATTTTTTTAGATGTTTGAATTATTATGTTTCAGTAGTTATAACATAATTTTCGTGGCGTAACAATTTAATGTGAAAATATATGCTATGCATGTAAGTTGATGTTATAAAAAATATTAACAGACTCACTTTGTTCGTCGTTTACTATAATATTATATTATATTTTATATTTATATATAAACAAATATTTTTAACTAATTTACAAATAACATCGGCTAATTGCTAATTCCTTTACAAGCCTCCAAACAATTTTGACCCCAGATTACAATCCTTAAGACCCGTTTTGATGATGACAAATAAGGAAGTAAAAGGCACTAGGCGAGTTGTTTGGTCACTGGAGGACAGCTAAACGAAATGGAATAATCGTATTCTTGGATAAGCCCACACTACCACCAACGCTGTTGAAATATTAGTACTCGGCAAAATCACCCGGCTTTATCCTCTCTCTCTCACTCACGTCGCCAACTATGTCGAGAGGAACAGGCCGTCTTATCAAGAACTTGAAGCAATTTGCGGACCTTCAGTACAAGCTGTTCACTCGCCGCTATGGCCAACAATTGATAGACATCTTTGAATTCCCTGTGAAGCTCGTGTTATCTCCGTTCACGCTTGCCTACGACATTGCTGGCTCGGCTCCACGTGGGTTCGGCGTGCCCGAGTTCATCTCCAAAGTCTCATACTCTGCAATTTTCGTAAGCTCTTCAGATTTTTCATTTCATCAGATAATTAATTGTATTTTTGGTACATTGCGCCATTTAAAACTTTGAAGTTTATGCTTGTCATTTGGTCAATTGGGTCACCATCTATATGTAAATATTCTTGTAATGTATAATCTTCTAGTTTAATTGCAAATACAAGAGTCATGTTTGATTATTTTTTTTTTGTTGCTTTAAGGGGGATTATTGAATGAGGCTTCTTACTTGATTTGGTGGTCGTGGTTGCTTCAATGGGTCGTTCAGTGACACTTGCCATTTCGGTTGAGTGGGTGTACTGGGTGTATTTTTGTTTTTCTACATAGATTTCACCTCGTTGTGATTGTATGTGAAAACTGGCATTTAAACTCTCATATTGTTACTCATATAAATGTTTGCCTTCTTAATTGAGTTACCACACTAGCTTAACTTCACAGGAAAATGGATATCCATTCTCTACGTAAAATTTTGAATTATCAAGGTTACAAAATATTTGATAATTGTAGTGAAATAAGTTTTTAACCATCACTTGATTTGGATTTGATGTTGAGGTCTTGTGGGAAAATTTAAAATAAGTTTCACATCTGATATCATCAACTTCTTATATTTTTCCTTGCATCTATAAGGCCAAAATGTTCGATGGTTTTGTTTCCTGAACGGTTGACTGCAGGTTGTTGCAACTCTTGGCACTTATGATATTGCATTAGAGCTGGGAAAGAAGGTGCTGTGTCAGAGGTGTTATTCAGTTCACTTGAAATTTCCTTAGTAACTGATATCCTCTATTGTTTTATCATTCTATCTCTGATTTTGTATAACTTCTTGTAATACTCTGTGGTTTCATGCCTTGACGACCTAGTGAAATAAAGAGAAAGCTATCCGACTATCACTTTCTCATGCATTCAGTTTAGTCCTAACCTATTTGGTTGTAGGCACATCTCACAAGCCAATGCCATAATAGCTTCTGTATCATCATCATCATCTCTTTCTCTCTCTCTCTCTCTCGTGTCTGGTTTTGCACTTATGCTCTGCAAGCTAATGGATGCCAAATAGATATTAGTCACCCAGTGAATTCCCAGTCATCCAGCCACTTGCCACATTCGTGGATTGTTTTTTTTTTAAAATGATTACATGTAGCAAAAACTGCAAATTAATATATATGCCAGGCCTTGCACCATACAACTGGACAATTTTTAGAATTCAACAGTTGTCTTAGTTCAATGTGATTTCGCTAACCCAGACAAAAATTTGGATAGCAGTACTAGACCTTAGCTAAGCATTTGGCTATTAACTTTGCATATGTAGGCAACCACTTTGAAGAAACCTTGTTTTTTGTTTATTACTTTACGTGTTTTTCAAGAAACAATGGAAGGAACATCTTCGTTACTTTCTGTTTGGCAATTGCAAAAGAGCACCTGTGGGGCCACAAAAGTTCTCGCAAAATGTCATATTTTGTTGATCATTATGATTTGGAAGCTCTTCTATACAAAATGTATGCCTATACTGCTTCTTCTATGCTTGCTTATAGTAGAGTGATACAACTCTCCACACTAACCTCATTCTTCTACTAAGCCAAATCTGACTCAAACACCTCACAACATCAATTTATTGTTTAGACTAGATTGTCTCCAAGAGTTCCCTCCACCTCAACCAACATGCTCAAAATTAGTTCTCAAAATGCCAAAGTAGGAGTTCCTTGGGATTATTAGTTCAATACCATTATTAGTATACACATGAATTCATACACTATTACAGCCATACAAATGTTTGGTTCTCAAAGGTTTCCTAATAGACACTCCTTGTAATCACTAATTAAGTGTTGAGAAAACCTACTGTGGGTTTCTTTTTATTTCTGTGGCTCTTTCCAAAAAGCGTGAATGCAAAAAAAAAAAACATCCCCAGTATAAGCTTATGTGCATTCAAGGATTTGTGCTTCAGTGGAAATGTTCACCCATACCGGGTTTTAATGCCTTTTTTGATCTTTGAAATGGAAATCTACCTGTCCTTGAATGATAATTAGATGCAAAATCAACTAACACCCTTTACTGTTTCACCACACTATTGTATCATTTAAAGGTAGCTACAGAGTTTTGTTCAGTATAGATGCTTGATTTTCAACTGCAGGAACTGTCAGACTTGCAATGGATGGCAGGCATTGCAGTGTACGATGTGCAAAGGCTCAGGGAAGGTGCAATACCAGGTGAAAAATTACACCTTAAAAAGGTAGGCCTGTAAATAATGCATTTCTATTTCTGTACTGGCAGGACACGTAGATGGTTCTGTTGAAAATACAAATAATGTATCCTTAACCAGGATGTCTGTCTAATTTGCTCATAAATATCCTGCAGTGGAGAGAAGGCAACGGCTGAATGCATTGCGGATGCCATTGCCGAGAACCGAGCTGAGTTGGTGCACCTTCCTTCCACCATGGATCTTCATCTGCCATTACCATCTAAAGATTGCCCAAGTTGTGATGGATCGGTTAGTGCTACACTGCAAGAACATTTGACTATTTTCCGATCTTTTGACCATGGAAGCTTAATTTCATCAATATCTTCATCTAAAATTTCATCATGCTACTGTTTTATGCACTGTATTTGTCTTTGATGCTACTTTAGTCCAATGTGAATAGCATATTACCGTTAGTCTGTGATGGAATAATCTGTATTCTCCTGGTTCAGGCTATGTTGTTTTAATCTTGTTCTAAAGTATTTTTGGGAGAATTTTGAGTTAAAATTTGAGGTCAAGGCGCATACAGTGGTGACAAATGACTTTTTGTCATATATATATATATATATATTTTTTTTTTTTCCTTCTGTTTTTTAGTTTTTCGTTCATATTTATAGCCTAAGCTGCATAAGGCATCTCAAATATAAGTGTAGATTACTCATGAAGAATGTATTAATGATGCAGGGTGTGATGAAATGTGCAGAATGCAAAGACAAGTTACAAATTAGGATCTCTGCAGATGATGTGAGTCTCTTTCTCAAAGTGTTACTCTTTGATTCTTTGTTTCTTTTTTTCATTTGTGTGTTTGTTGTTTATCTCTTGTAATGCTTCATCTTTATATTACCTTTTTGTGTCTGCAGATAATGGAGCCTCCATGGAAAGCATATAACATCATGAGAAAGATGGACTACCCTTATGAGGTTTTTGTCATTTTTTTTTTCTTTTGCATTTATTCACTGATAATATGATGATGTTTCAGTATTCCTTTGAGGCGAATGCGGTCCTTTCTGTCCAGTTTATTGTCCGTTCTATTTTTATACACAATCAGGGCTTCTTTGTGGAGGTGTAGGGGCTGCTTCATTAGTGTTCCTGTACTGGTCTTAGTCTCCTGTAAAGGTTTTACTTGTTAGGAAAATTTGGTTCTACTAGATTATTTTAGCTTAGTAATTAGCAGCCTAAGGAACTGAATTGCGAGGCTTTTTTGAAAGACACGACACCGGGTTGGGTTCAGTGATTAAAGCAAATTAGTTTTGGTGAGAGTTGTGACTTTTTTGTTGTCATTTGATTCTTTATTTTTCTTGTTCTGCTTTGTCTAAGTTTCTCTTGAAAAGCCTCCCCCCCTTCTCTCTCTCTTTCTCCCGACATGAGTATGGGTTCATTCAGTAAATAAGTGGGTTTATACTTTATCCTTGTACTTATGATTCAGTTTGAACATCTTACTTTTATTTTTGATTCTTGATTTGTTTGCTGTTTCAGCATATTGTTGACAGCATGAGAGACCCCAGCATTGCTGCATTCTGGTTGATCACCCTGCCTCAGATTGTAGGAGGATTTGAATATGATGACGATGTCAAGCAGAAAATTTGGTGGCAATATAAGGTTTTATTGCATTCGCTTCCTTCTTTTCTGGAGATCCTGGAATACATCTTTTGTGTAATCAACATTTCTCTGTTATTTTTATGAATGATAGTCGAGTGTAATGCTCACGAGTGTCAATAAAGAATTCTGCAATTATGAATATCCTTGAATGCAAAAGAAGGGAAAAAGAGGAGAAAAGAAAGAAAAAGAACTGTATTTGCAGATAAAAAGTGATCGACTGCATGTGCAAAATTTCATTTAACACGCATCTGCATATTGGTGACACATTCTGATCTTACACAATGGACCTCCACTTTTTCTCTTCCAGACCAACAGCCCTCAAATGTATGTGTGATAAGTTTATGTTCAAAGATATAAACAAAGCTTGTGTGTGAGAACATGCTTCTATGTCTTATTTTTAAGCCTAGTTCACTTTACTGAATTAGAGTAGTGAGTGTTTGTGGTCCACAGAGCCATCGTCTAGGTCAAAGCATATATTACTGAATAGCATTGTTCAAGTTTTATTATAGCTGTTTCCATTCTAAAGGATGGTGACCACCTGATTATTTTTCTTTTCCTGAAAGGATATTGTTATATTGTATACAAGACATAACCATTATGCGCTATTATTTGAGTCAGCTACCATGCTGCTGTATGTCTTGTTCAATTGATTGCTTGGTGCATGATTGCTATATCAGCATGTAATTATTTGTTTTTCATCTGATTAGGAATCTATGCGGTATGATCAACTCCGTGATGTGGTAGCTAAGCGGAAACCTGGGTGGGAGTACTTGCAAGAAGTAAGATAATTCTCCTTATGATTAACATTTCTTCCCCTGGACTCATTTGCTTTATGATTAATTCATGACAATAGTGAGTCTAGTAAGCATGTTATTATTCAGTTGCAGATTTTGTTTTGCTTTTTAATTTGATAGCTTTTGCCTTTTGCTGTGTCTCAATCTCTCGTTTATCTCTTGCTAACACCCCCCAACCCTTCACACACATGTTTGTTTGCGTACTTTCAAATGACAGGCAATCCTAAAGCGGAGGATTGAGAATTCAAGCATAACCCTTGTTTGTTTCACCTCAAAGCATTAACCATGTTTAAGATGTTAATTTTAAACCCAAGAGATAATTCTGCAATTGTGTATCTAAATTAATAGATCATGTACATGTTATGCATTGGAAAGTTGAGAAACCCACTTGGAATCTTGCCCATTCAGTAAGAGAGAATACAACGACATCAAGCTCTAGCCTCATGAGGAGTGAAGATTGACATAAGATTTCATGCCCTTTTTCTTTTTCATAATGTCAGAGTGTTACATTCCTATTATGTCGCTTTCCTATTGTTCTACTTTCCTATTATGTGATTTTTCTATTGTGTTCCATTTTCTTAATATTGTACTTGTTTTCAATATCAATCTAATATGATAGTGTGTTAGCAATATACACCCTATACAATGTTGTTTCATAATCTCTTTCTTTCTCTCTTCTTCTTCTCTCTCTCTCTCTCTCTCTTTTTTCGTATTAATCCTAATATACAATTATTTTAAGTTTCAATTTGGTATCAGAAAAAGATACTTGGACAAAGTGGGGCTTGGCTCAAGGCTGTGCCTCATTCGCCTAGTGGTTGGACCGGCCCAGCACACATTAAGTTGTAGTCATTTGCTTGTTTGCCAGTTGTTGTTGTCACTAGAATCACGCTAAGTTTCTGTTTCCTAGTCACCAGTCTCTTCATTAGTTACTCATTGGTTGCTGTGATCATTATCAATTGTTTTGAGGTGTTTGAATCCATGCTCACGTCTTTTTTATTTGATCATCGGTACGAATTCTAATGTTTTTAGGCCAGTTCAGTGATATTTTGCCTAGTTTAGTGCTGGTTTAATGGATTGTTTTATATCTCAGTTCAATTCCGATTTAGTATATTTTAGTCTGATTTAGTGTTTGCTTGGTTTAGTGGTTTTCATGCTAGTTTTGTGTTGGTTTAGTGGTTTTTCATTTTGATTCATTATTTTTGACCCGATTTTTTTCGATAAGAAACAACATTTTATTGATAAAAAAAAATACAAAAAAATTAGAATCGCATCAAATGTGGACAAGTAGTCCAAACAAAAGCAAGCCTATGTAACCAAAACAAACAAATACAATCCACATGACTCTTTCCAACTTGTTCTAATAAAAAAAAGGAATATCTGAAAATCCTTGGACATAGATGCCAAAAAAGAAGCCCAAAAAATATATCCTTTTGCTAGAGCTTCAAAATCTTTGTATTTATCCTTAAAAATCCTTACTTTTTTTTCCTCGCATTTCTTTTCGACTCGATTTGGTGCGGTTTTTAGGACAGTTTGGTTCTGATTTAGTGGTTTTATCCCACTTTAATTCCAATTCAGTGTTTTCAACTCAGTCTAGTGCTGGTTCACTGGTT